AATTTGTTTATAAATGAATTAACATGGAGAGTCTCATGTTGAGTGAAATGAGTCAGAAGAAGAAGGACTGGACAGACATCTAATAATTGCATTTAATTCTGGGATATAAAATAAATAGTATGAGAGTAATAACCAAAGAGAGCAGAAACAATGGCTAAGAGGATTGAACCATGATTGGAAGTTTGCCATAAGTGTGGAGGTGTGGGGGTGGTGAACAGTTAGGATAGAGATGGGATAACTATAACAATAATAGTTGGAAATGATCAATCTGGACAAAAACAGAGTGCCAAAAGTAGGTAAACAGATAAACACCATAAGCTTTCAGTACCTGAATTGCAAACACAATGCCTCCAAACTTTCAGTATGAATATTACAAGTCATAATGCCCCAAAGGGGGGAGAGTATGAGAAGGAGGTGGAAGAGGAGAAGGAAGAGGAGGAGGAGCAGGTGTAGAAGAAGAAGAAAAAGGAGAAGGAGAAGGAGAAGGAGAAGGAGAAGGAGAAGGAGAAGAAGGAGAAGAAGGAGGAGAAGGAGGAGAAGAAGAAGGAGAAGAAGAAGAAGAAGAAGAAGAAGAAGAAGAAGAAGAAGAAGAAGAAGAAGAAGAAGAAGAAGAAGAAGAAGAAGAAGTAGCAGAAGCAGAAGCAGAAGCAGCAGCAGCAGAAGCAGCAGAAGCAGAAGCAGAAGCAGAAGCAGCAGAGGCAGAGAAGAAGAAGAAGAAAGAAGAAGAAGAAGAAGAAGAAGAAGAAGAAGAAGAAGAAGAAGAAGAAGAAGAAGAAGAAGAAGAAGAAGAAGAAGAAGAAGAAGAAGAAGAAGAAGAAGAAGAAGAAGAAAATAGATTTTTTTCTCTTTGGGGGGAAAAGTTAGCAGAAGGGAAACTGGGGACATGGTGTGGTGGTAGGAAATGCACACTGGTGAAGTGATAGGTGTTGTAACATTGTATGACTGGAACCGAATCATGAATAGCTTTGTAACTATCTCACGGTACTTCAGTTAAAAGAATTAAATCCATTACATCAGAACCTTGGGGGATATACAGTACTCACAAGTAGTCATAGTCATGGTTGAAAATTTGGAATTTTTGTACTTTATTTACTGATTTAAAGAAAGAAATATCTAATTATGAGGAGATAAATATTTCTGCTTTTATTTCTGTCAGTATTTCTCAAAAAATTGTGATGCTCTCATTTTAGTTACATACACATTGAAAAATTTTATGTAATCTTAAAGTCAACGTATTTCTCTTTATGTAATGTACCTATGATTGATAATATATGTTGTTATAAATTCTGGTTGATATCAATACTTCTATTTAGCATTTTTATACTCTACATCTTTTTAACTTTATATTTTCTTGTGCTTTAGCATTATTTTATATTAGTTGTATGGTTCTATTACAGGTGGCTTGATAAAGAGTATGGGGGGGGGACTTGGGAGCAGAAAGGGAAACGGCTTCAGGAAAACTGTGATTTCTCTTTACTAAACCTATGTCAACCACCCAGGAGAAGGCCTGGTTTTGGGTAAGACTGATGAAAGTCGACTCCCAGGACCTACAGGCAAGGACCTCCTGCCAGCCTGAGGAGGCAGCCATAAAGCTGTGTTTGAAAGCCCCTTTGTTTAGCTCTGTGAAGAGCTGATCCTCACAACTTGATTTCCTTGGGATCTGTGGACTCAGGTTGGAGCAAGAACTGATCTTTGTCTTTGACTGATCTTTGAAAGAAATGTCAGTCCTAACCTCAGCACAAATATTCCAGATTCCTCTACTTTCCCCATGGAAAAGAATTCCAGGAGAGGACAAAATAGTAAAATAATTTAATTTTTAATACAAAGAATTTACAAAGGATGTGAAAAGAGAGAAATAGCACACAGGCTTGAAAAAAAACAAGCAAGATTTTAAAGGTTTTGGAAAGAAATTAGAGACTATTTCACCAGATTTTTTTGATCTGGATGTCTCTGTTTACACAAAGGTTAATCAGGGCACTACAACTGGGAAAGTCTTGCAAGGTGGATGGTCCTTTCTTATTCTTGCCTTGACCATTAGATTTACCTGTAATTCTTTCTCTTCTGAGGTGGCCCACCCTGGTGTGGGTGGAGCATTGAATTTCTGCATCTGAATGGTGCTTCAGTTTTTCTTTCCACACTGAAGGTTTGCATTTCAAAGGGATGTATTCCAAGTGCCTTTGGGCTACTTTAGGGCTAGAATATTTCTTCTTATGTTTTATTATTTCCACAAAGCTCATTATCAGGGTTCCACAAATCAGATACATCTGGGACTCCTGTTATTTTTTTTTTCTGTTAGTAACACCATTGCTATATTATAACTGGTGTGTTTAGGCAATACCAATCAAAGTTATTCTTTATACATTTGGAGTAAAACTCTAGGTTTTTGAATCATTTTTTTTATTTTTTGTAATTCTATTTAATTGTTAATATCTCTTGTATGCTTTTGCTGTAGGCAGATAGGTAGGGGCCTGGTAATGTACTTTTGGGAAATAATAAAATTTGAAAAGAGATTACCCAGCCCTCAAATAGCCCAAAGGCATGAAGACCACATTTCTTTGAAACACAAATTCTTAGTATTTGGAAAGGACAAAAGGAAGCACCACCCAGTTGAAGTAATCCGAGGGCAGGCCCATAGAAGGGTGAGTTCCTAAGAAAAAGACAAACTGAAGAAGTACCTATGGGATTATGAAAAAACGCCATTTACAGTGCAAGAGATGTTATTATGAAGGAAGCCACTAAACAATGCCAGGGATAAGATTTGAGAAAACTATCAATAAAGTAAGGCTCTCCTTGTGATAATGCTCAGATTAACTTCATGTAATCTGAGAAGACAGCGGAGAGCTCCAGGAAAGAAAAAAAAAAATGGGGGAGGAATTGTAAAAATTCGCCTTCCAAATGCCATTCAGACCTTGCTTGTTCTTCTCTTTATCTTTCTTTCTCTTCTCTTCCTCTTTCTTCAATAAAGAAAATTCTCTGTTGAGCATTGCTTATTCTGACACCCCCTCCCCCATACACACACAAACTCTGAAGAAATAGGCATTCTTTCTTTCTAGAACATATATTCTCTCTCCTTCTCTTCCTGTTATCTTTTACAGTAAATTCCTTTCCATAAAAACTATCTGGCTTTGCTATTATGCATCCTAAAATATTTTTCTGCAATGGAAGTCTACAGACCCTGATTGCCCATATCGAGATTAGGGCTGACTTCCCTTTCCTGCAAAGTGCAATACCTCACTCCAGTTCCAGTCCATGGCGTCCCACGTTATCAGGTATTGTGAGGGACAGGCCCAAAATAGACCACCAGAATTAATTTAGCTTAGCTTAACAGGAACCTGCATTGCAAAATAACTTTTTTTTCCCCTGAGCAAGGAATTCAGATACAGGTGCCCCGAGTTGCATGTCACAAGAAGGGGGGGTAGAGTCATGATCAGATGACCAGATGTCTTGTCACAAGACACAGGACTGCCCCCAAAAACCAGGACGTTCCTAAGCACTGACGCAAATGCTGATCTTTAAAATATAGGCTAAGGAGTGAAGTACTTTGAAATGGATTGGTCAGTAAAGTATGGGTTATTACAAATCTATTGGCTATGAAATGTGCAAGTTCTGCTGTAACAGCCAAGGAAGGCCTATATAAGATCTCCTTTGAAGAAGCTCAGGATCTTGCCCATCCAGAAACCTGCGTGTCTGCATAGGCGGCTTGACCCTGGCTAGCCAGTCTTGCAATAAACCCTGCTTGCTGTTTGTAGTATCTGGAGTTTCTTTGTCGTTAAAGGGTGATCACAATCCAAGGGAGATCATGATCCATGTCCTAACAGTATCAAGGATCAACTCCCAGAACAGGTGGGTTTCAGGCACAACATTGACAGCTGTCTTGTGGGGCTAGTGGAACAGGAATAGACTTTACCAGTCCTATGAAACTCAATCCATGCCATTTCCAAAGTGTAGGTGGTCTCAATGGGTCGAGCAGAGAGGAGGAGAAAGCTCTTTTCTTTGGGTTACCTCCCTTTCTCCCCATTTAATGGACCCACCAGTAACAACTTTTTAAAAATAAACATTTTATTTGCTCAGAGAGTATAGCATTTTTGTTAGTAAGTCAATTTGAAAATTAGCATTATGCTTTTTCATAGTGAAAGAGTAAGCCTTAGTTTCCCTTCACCAGTAGTTCCATTTCTCTCCCTTCCACTGATCTACATCTTTCCTAATGTACACTTCATCCCAAGGACCTGTCTCAGTGGAATTTCCCAGTACCATAAAACTCTTTTCTGGAGCCCAGGCTGACAGGGAGACTAAGATAATTTTGACTGGCTGGACAAGACTGTAACCTTCCTGCATCCTCTGCAAACACTAATTGATAAGGAACATAAAGATCCTTTAAAAGGACCTGCACAAAACTCCCATTTAACTTACCTGACACATGTTTTTCCCTACTTGGTAAGTTCCTTTTTCTTTCTCTTTTCCTTTCAAATAAACTGTTCTACTTCCCAACACTGAGTCTGAGCATCTTTATTACTTAATATTTTCATTCTTGAAAATATTGAAGAACCTGGGAATCATAGCTGAACAGATTCCCACTGTTGCTACTCCTGCAGCATTTGCATCAATAAGAAAGTTACTTTGTCTTTTTATTTCATTATTATTATTATTATTATTATTATTATTATTGTATTTTGAGCTGGTTCACCACCTCATCGTGGCAAGGGCGTGGCAACGGTGCCAACCAATGAAAAGCAAACCAATATGACATCCACACGGCAGAGCCTGGCAAGCTACCCGTGGCGTATTCCATATGCCAAGAGGTAAAGGTAAAGGCCCTCCCGTTGATCGTCGATTTGCTCAAGCGGGCCCAGTAACGTCTCCATTGGAGACTTTGTTGTTACTGTGTCTGGCATATCGAATACTCTCGGTAGCTTGCCGGGCTCTCTGAGAGGGGTGGAGGAATCGAACTCGGGTCAGCCATGTTGGCCGCTTGTAAGGCGAACGCCCTACCCGCTGTGCTATCGCTCCAGCCTTCGGCAGCACATATACTAAAATTGGAACGATACAGAGAAGATTAGCATGGCCCCTGTGCAAGGATGACACGCAAATGCCAAGAACAGTAACAAAAATGAGTCTTACTCCCTGACCCTGGAAAAGCCCCCAATACAGCAGCATTGAAATGGACTAGGCTGCCAAAATAAAGAAGGACTAAAATGACTGTCTGCACTTATAACTCATGTACACTAGCATCAGAAGCATCCATCGAGAACATTTTGATGCAAGCACAGAAGATCAAGTACAACATCATTGGGTTGACCGAGAGGAGGAGGCATCAATCACATCATGCTGTTTTTGACACTGGAGAAGAACTGTTCCTTGGAACATGCAACAGTAGAGGCATTGGTGGTGTCAGTGTCCTTGTCAACATGAACATGGCCATGAGCATTGATTCATTTGAATGCCTAACAACCCAAATTGGACACTTACATTTGAATGTATGTGGCTCATTGCTGGTAGTTTCTATCTTCGTAGGCTATGCACCTACATCTAACTACAACAAAGAAGAAATTGAGAAGTTCTATATGGAGCTGAAGAAGTTCTATAATGAAGACCACGCCTTCTACAAGGTCATTGTTGGTGATTTTAATGCGAAGATAGGACCGAGAAGGTCACTTGAAGAACTTCACATTGGGGCCTACAATCTAGAATGGAAAGTAAGGTGAGACTGTCTGATTTAACCATGTTGACTAAGATCATCCACAGTAACTCGCAGTTCCAGAAGGCTGAATCTAAACACTGGACATGGGAGTCTCCTGGTGGACAGTCCCACAACGAAATTGACCACATCATATTCAATCAACGGTTTTGCCTGACCAATGTCACTGTTGTCCCAAAATTCCAAACAGGATCAAACCACTGTCTCCTTCATGCGAAATTTTACTTCAGGAGCTGGGCAAAAGGGCTGCAAAGTTTAAAAAGAGAACCCCAGAACAACCACCAACTGGGAGTTCTTTGGATCTATTGTGGAAATATGGGAAAATGCCTCCATTGATAACATTGACAAGGAATACAATCAACTGGTTCAGCATCTCCATGATTGTGTAAAGAATGCTGAGAGAGAAAGTCACAAAAAGACACCTGTGTCGAGCTCATTAGCCAACATGGTTTGACGCGAGCCTCAGGCAATCACAAGCTAATATCCAAGTTTGCAAAGCAGTGCAGAGAAGCGATAAAGGAAGATTTCAGAGAGAAAAGAGCAGCAGTCTTGGCCAATGTGGCAGAAGCCAGGAAAGGTATTCGCAATGCCTGTCTGTCCTTCGCCAACTGTAAGACCAAAATGACTGCCCTCCGACATCCTGATGTATCCATCACATCTTCCAGAAGGGCAATAGAAAAGGTTACCACAACTTCTCCATGGATCTCTTTGATAGCCACATTCACCTGCCCACATACCAAACACTGCAGGATGGGTAAAGTCGTTCCCAGCATTCTCCCTTCTGAAATCCAATATGCCATTCATTCGGTAAAGAAGCATACAGCACCCGGTTCAGACAAGGTCAGACCCGAACATCTGAAGAATCTGCCGCCAGTACTCATCAATACACTGGCTCAACTCTTCACACACTACCTGTCTGAATGCAAGGTTCTGTCCCAATGGAAAACCAGCTATACCATCCTATTGTATAAGAAGGGAAACATCCATGACATCAGCAACTATTGCCTGATCTGCCTGTTTCCTGTCATCTACAAGTTATTCACTTGAGTCATCCTGAATAGGATTAGCAGAACTTTAGATGAAGGACAACCAGCAAGCAAGCTGGGTTCTGAAAAGGATTCAGCACAATCGACCATATCCACATGGTGACCAAACTCATTGAGGTTTTGTGAGAATTCAAGATGCCACTCTGTCTAACGTTCATTGATTTAAAGAGGGCCTTTGATTCTGTTGAGACTGAAGCAGTCATTAAAGCCCTAACCAAGCAGGACATTCAAACTCAGTGTATCAGGATCCTCCATGAGCTGTATTATGGATTCACCACCAGGATCTCACCATTCTACAAGGAAGTGATCATTGACGTAAAGAGAGGGATTTAGCAGGGTGATACCATTTCACTGAAATTCTTCAGTGCTACCCTCAAGAATGTCATGCGACAACTGGAATGGGAAGGAATGGGAGTGAAGGTAGATGGTTGGCAACTACACCACCTCCCCTTCGCTGATGACATCATTCACCAAACATTAGCCAAGCAACAGAAATGCTGGACTACTTCAACTGTGAATGTGAAAATGTTGGACTACAGCTGAATCTTACGAAGACAATGTTCATGAGAAATGGACTAGTCCCTGATATTCCATTTGCTCTCAATGGAACAAACATCTCTATAGCAGTTATGTGTACCTAGGTCGAGAACTCAACATGACAAACAACCTGGCATCAAAGCTATGCAGGAGGAAGAGAGCAACATGGAACGACTTCAAGAGCATTGAAGAAGTGGTTAAAAGAATGAAGAACCTCTGGCTCCAGGCACATCTTTTTGACTCCACTGTTCTTCCTGCATTAACATATGCCTCAGAGACCTAGGCCCTAAGAAAACAGGATAAGAATGCTATTTGGGTCTCCCAAAGAGGAATCAAAAGAGTTTTGCTTGGAATATCACGTTTCACTCAAGTGAGAGAAGGAATCCATAGTTCCGACCTTTGTCAACAATCTAGGATCAGGGACGCTGTCTTGTTTGCCAATCCGTCTAAAATCAGATGGGCCAGACACATAATGCGATTAAGAGACGAACGCTGGACTAGAGCTGTTACTGACTGGATTCCAAAAGAATGCCTGACCACCCACCTACAAGATGGTCAGAACTCTTCATCAAGACCCTGAATGAATGGTTTGAGGCTCTTTGTGTTCCTGGAGCGAGCAGATGCCATTGGGCTATGCTAGCTCATGACTGGGATGAATGGAGACGTTACTGATCCCCTTTCCAGCAGGTTGATGAGCAACAGGATGACAAGTGATGAAAGTGGTATTTTGAGCCATTTTCATTACTCAAGGGTAGCCCATGGATGTATTGGGGAATATCATGTAGTGTAAGGGGTTGAACACAGCATTCCTGTAATGAAAAGCACATTCTTCAGCCCATTTCAACTGTTTTCATGGCCCAAGGTTTTTCAACATTATATTCACAGTTCCAACTCCCCTATTTCGGTGCAATTGTAATCATATAATTTCAACACGAATATATACTATAAAATACATGCAATACCTTTTTTACTATTTTGCTTCTGAATGTCAGTTTTCAGTTAGAAATGAGATTTAAGTTTGTATTTCATTTTACATTGATTTATTCTTTTTCCACTTCTCATTGCTTTTTAGTGTAGATCAGTTTCAGATGAATGCATTTTTTGTCCTTTAACATTCACTAAAAAATAGGTCAGTTAAAATGAGAATTCTTTCCTTCTCCATATTCTCCATGTTCTTCAAAACATATTTTTGTGTGTTTTATTTTGTAGTACCAGAGATTGAACACAGGATCTCAAACAAGCCAGGTCTGTGCTGTACCACAGAGATGCATCTCTGTTACTTTGAAAAGTATTTTTACAGGTTGTAGAAGCTTGGATCAATACTTTTTTTGTTTGTTTGTTCTTCCCATCTGTTGACCCTCCCTTATTTTTTGGCTTATAATTCTTCTGATTAGAAGTTCATTATATTTTTGTGTCACCTCCAACTTGCAGCAAACTGCATGATTTAATCTCTTCTTACAGTTGCATAATATTTCATTATATATATGAATAGATATGCCATCTAAAATAGATAGATAGATAGATAGATAGATAGATAGAAATGCATGTGTGTTTGTGTGTGTGTGTATGTGTGTATCCATAACACTGTCTATCCTCCCATTGTTTATCAATTTGCTCGAGCAGACCCAGTAACATCTCCATTTTGAGACTTGTTACTGTGTTTGTCATATTGAATATACTCTCTGTAGCTTGCCGGGCTTTTCGAGAGGGGCGGAGGAATCAAACCCAGCTTGGCCTGGCTGGCTGTGTGCAAGGCAAATGCCCTACTGCTGTGCTATTGTGTATCAATAATGAAGTATATATACAAACTCTATTTTGGATTTATCTATCATTGGACATTTGGGTTTTTTCCATATCCATTCTATTTTACTAAGCTTTGCAATGAACATAGGTGTTCATGTATCTTTGGGGATTAGTGTTTTGCTTGCTTTTAGTTTTTGTTTATTTTGTGTGCATTTCATGTGCTCTGAGCTTCTTTGCTATCTCATTTACTGTTTATAAATAATTTTGCCAAGTCCTTGGGTATGAATTTTCAAACATTTCTTTGCTCAGTTGTGTTGTGTGTGTGTGTGTGTGTGTGTGTGTGTGTGTGTGATCTACCTTATGGTCTTATTAAACATATGTTTTAACATTTGACACCAACTCAGAGCTCTTAGATGCTATCTCTTATAATGTGACTCATATTGTGTCTCTGTGATTTAATTTGAACAATTTATATTGATTTATCTTCAAGTTTACTAATTTTTTCCTTAATGAGATGAGCCTATTGATAAGACAATTGAATAAATTCATCATCTCTGTCACTATATTTTATATATTTATATATTTGTTTATTCTTAAAATTTCCCTCCTGACTCTGAAATTACTTATGTGATATTGCATTTTGTCTATTTTTATTGGCACTTTGTATTAAACTACTTATGACATTAATCATAATTTGTTTAAATTTCTTCTCTTACTTTTTCAACATGATTAATTTCAAGTATGAATCATTTTCATGATTCCATTTTCTCTTATGAATTTATTTGTTCTGACTTAATTCTTCCTCTGCCTCCTAGTTTTTGTTTAAAAGCTAGATACCTTGTGTGAGAGACCAGATATATGGAAGTAAATATGTCTTTTCTTCTGGGATCCCTTCAGTGAGCTAGTATGAATTAAGAACTTTCATCTAATTTTAAGTTGATATAGTTGTGCTAATTTTAATTCTATTACAAAAAGCAAATAATCTATCTCAACATGGAAGATTTCCCCATTTTCCATTCAATGAGAAATATCTAGAGACCATTTTGAATATTATAATGGGGGCGGGATGTCATAATAGCATCTAATGAAG